TCTGATGAAGGGTCTAGGCCCGAAACGTCAGCCTCTCTGCTCCTATGCTGCTGCTTGGCCTGCTGTGTTCATCCAGCCCTGCACCTTGTTGTCTCACAAAAAGCTAGCATCTAGGTTCAGTGGCTAAAAGGTGAGGTAAATGTAATGTTGGCCTTTAATGCGAAGGAAATTGATATAAAAGTAGGGAGGTTTTGCTAAAAATATACCAGGTGCTACTTAGATGCTGTTGGAATAATGTGAGCAGTTTGGGCCCCTTATCGCAGAAATAAATATACTGGCATTGGAGGCAGTCAGTGAAGACTGTTTTTTCCTTCACAGATGCTGCCAGACCTGCTGAGCTTTTCCAGCAACTTTGTTTTTGTTCCTGATTTACAGCATCCGCAGTTCTTTTGGTTTTTATTAAGATTATCTCCCTGATGACCTTGAAGAGACCATTGAATGTGATTCTGCTCACCCACCTGTTTCCCGAGCTGAGGCTGTAGAGATTTTCAAGATTTTGCAGTGCAGCATGAAAACATTGAACATGTTTGGCTGCATTGATGACATGGCATGTATCCCACTCATTCAGAGCACACTAAGCAGAAAAAGATTACTGAGTTTTTCCAAAGTAACTCACAATATTTTTCCATAACTTTTTCCTATACTGTCTTGTCCGGTCTTCGTAAATTGTAAACACATTGAGAAATAAAAATATTTTTGATCTATTTGTTACATTACTGAGTTTTCATCTTTTTTAACACAGCACATTGGTGGACAAATCGGGTTTACCTGTCTATCCCGAAGCTCTGTTAACTCTGATTATTGACTTATAGCTATTTTACTTTTGGTCTGTTATGTATTTAAAATTAAGGTAACCATTTCTTTTTAAAGCATCCTAAGTTTAAAAACTAAGCCATGATATAAAACTGTGTCTCCCATCTTGTCTTCACAATTATAGTAAGTCATCAAAGGTGGCTTTCCTTGAAGCACTGTGTTTATGTTAGCTTGGGACCATTTGTTCAATCTCATCTTTGATAGCACGCAGGCACAGACAAGATCCCCATATGCATGGATACAAATATCTTTCATTAACCACACTGAGGCAGCATATAATACTAATACTTCACTTGGGTAATTATTACACATAACTAAACTTGTACTCATTGGAGTTTAGAAGAATGAGAGGAGACCCTATTAAAGCACATAATATTAGAAGGATTGACAGAGTAGATGCAGAGGGAAAGTAGGACCAGAGGGCATAATCACAGAAAAAGGATCACTGTGTTAGAACAGAGATGAGGAGAGATGCTTTTTCTCAAAGGATGGTGAATTTGTGGAATTCTTCACTGCAGAGGGCTATGGAGCCGGGGTCATTAAGTATATTTAAAACAGATTTTAAAAAAAATCATTAAGGGAATCAAAGGTTTTGGGGAGAAGGCAGAAAAGTCGATTTGAGGGTTATATGATTAGCCATGATCTCATTGAATGGTGAAGTGGGCTTGATGATCGAATGGCCTTCTGCTCTTCCATCTTATGATCTAAACCACGACTATTTATTGAAAAGTAAGTTCAATCCTACATAGCTTTACTTGTCTATATTTCTACTGACTTTATGAATGCAGGTTATTTGATAGGTAATTCCATAGTTTCAAGGTTCTAAGAGATAGTGAGTTTGAACAGGTTGCATTGAGACTTGTTGTGAATCAGTATAGTTGTTACTGGGCTGTGTTTTTGATAACTGACTGTTCTGTTACCTCAGGAGTGAGTAATCTTGCATTCCGACACCTGATTGAGTTTACTTATACTGCCAAGCTGATGTTGCTTCAGGAGGAAGAGGCGAGTGATGTGTGGAAGGCAGCTGAATACTTGCAGATGGAAGAGGCAATGAAAGCACTCAACAATCGGTAACAAAACCCTTCTGTAATTTCGTGTGTGTTCCTCTATATTACATCATAAGATTTTTAAATAACTGTTTTAATGCCATAGTAACCGATTGAAATTCAAGGCATTGGCAAAATCCTTTGTAGAATGGTGGCTCAGTTACCTTCTGTGCTTTATCACGCCTTTTCTGCCAACAAAGACTTGTTTGTAAGACATGATTTTCTAGCACTTGGTAGTGCCTGCCAAACATTGAATACAATAACCAATTTCCATACTGGTAGAACCCACAAACAGCAGGGAGGTGAAGGTCCCATTATTTGATTGTTGTTTGTTTCCTTATGTCTCACTGGGGCAGCATGCCATCAAAAAAACTTAATTTTTTTTAAATATGCAAAATTCTCTGATGTACTTGCATTTTAGATTCATGTTGACTGAAAGCACAAACCAGGTTTCTGAACTTTACAAGAATTACTATTTATCACAACTAAATAGAATCTAGCTGCAGGTAAATGATGATGAACTGTCAACATATAACTATATCAGTTAAAATTTTAACTCCCTTATAAACTTCTCCTCACATACATATGCAGATGTGAAGAAAGGAATGAGATAGAAGGAGGGAAAACTGGGAAAGTAGTTTCTATTCACATCTGCTGAGATTATTCTTGTGCTGATTAGAATGCTGCTTCTCGTTCATCTTTCTTGAGATGTTCCACTGGTTTGTGGGAGGCACAGGGTGACTGCTTCACACTTCTAATGAGTCAGAGATCCTTTATTTAAAAGGCACAGTTTACAGCATCTGCTAAAAGAAAAAGAAGCTGGTTTTCTTCAGGCTTAAAGTGGGCTATGATACAGAAACCAGACAAAGCTCCTGAGATGGTGGAGATCTAACAGCTTCTCCCTATCTTTATCACAGCTCCAAGATGTTCAGCTACCTATGAACCAGTACATAGTTATTGGCAAGAAGGACATCTTTGTCATCAAGAACTGCTCACAGACCAATCAGCTACTTATTGCTGGATGAATTTCTAGTTGTACACAGCTTGTCTGCACCTTCTTCCACTACTGCTGTACCAGCAGCTATGTAAGCAGTGCTTACAATGAGTATAGTGTAAAAGCTACTGTAATCCTCCAACAACCCTTGAATTTAAAATAGTTCTTTTCCCATTTCAGCCCACAATGAAAAATGCAGAAAAATAAGAAAAAAACAGTCCTTACAGTTTGATGATTTTCTGAACAGACTTTGGTTGAATGGATCATTCATTCCATTGTTTTAGGGATTCTGCAAACACTCACCTCACTTCAAAGCAATTCATTGGAGATGTTTGTGAGCATGTGGTCTAGTGCTTCGTCAATGCATTCTTCTTTATTCCCAACCTGGCCCTATTTTAGTCAAGAACACATTTGGGGAGATCCTTCCTTCCTTTTCAGGGCCTGATCCGATTGCTACCCTGTGCTGTATCCTTGCATTGAATTACAGTAAAGACCCGTCATTCATAAATTCGTGTATATTTTTTATTCTTCTTGGGATGGACGGCGTCATTGGCCAGGCCAGCATTTATTACCCATTCCTAATTGCCCACAGGGCAGTTAAGTGTCAACCACATTGTTGTGGGTCTGCAGTCTCATGTAGGCCAGACCAGATAACGTTGGCAGTTTTCTTCCCTAAAGGACATTAGTGGGCCAGTTAGATTTTTCCGACAATTGCCAACGATTTCATGGCCATCATTAGAATTGTAATTCCAGATATTTATTGAATTCAAATTCCACCATTGCCATAGCAGGATTCAAACCTAGGTCCCTCGATCATTACCAGGGTCTTTGGATTAATAGTCTAGTGATGATTACAATAAACCATCACCTCCCCTTGAATAAAATTAATCATCTAGTGGAAACATTATGTGCGCCATTTCACCCATTGCGGTGACAAAATGGATGTTCTTTCAACAAAAGAAGCACTTAAATAAATGTAAAAAGTAAGATCTGATGGATTTGCATGAAGTATTTCCTGGACTAGAAAATGCACACTGTGCAAGTCATCCACAGTGTTGCTTACTGGAAGTGTAAAAACGTGGGTGTTCAGTTTGTAATATTATAAATAAGTATGACATTTTATATATATATATAGATTCATTGAGCAATAGAGCATGGTCCATGCCGACCATAATCCCAAACTAAACTAATTCCACCTCCCTGCGCTTGACACATATCCCTCCAAATATTTCTTATTAATGTACGTACCTGTTAAACTTTTAAACTTTGTAACTGTACTCGCATCCACTGGAAGCTCATTCCACACACAAACTTGCCTCTCATGTCTTCTTAAAATCTTTCTCTCACCTTAAAAATATTCCACTTAGTCTTGAAATCTTCCACTCTAGGGAATATACACCTGCCATTCACCTTATCTGTACCCCTGATGATTTTATAAACCTCTGAGGTCACCGCTGAACCTCCTACACTTCATTGAAAAAAGTCCCAGCTTATCCAGCCTTTCCCCATAACTCAAACCCGGCAACACCCGGGTAAATCTCTTCTGGACTCTCCCCAGCTTAATAATATCCTTCCTATAACAGGGCAACCAGAACTGGACACAGTACTCCAGAAGAGGCCTCCCAAATATCTGTACAATCTCAACTCCGCTACTCAAAGATTTGATCAATGAAGGCAAGCATGATAAATGCCTTCTTAACTACCCTATCTATATGTGATGCAAATTTCAAAGAATTATGTACCCAAACCCCCAGGTGTCTGTGTTCTACAACACTACCCGAGGTGCTACTTTCAATTGCATAAGTCCTGCCCATGTTTGTTTTACTTTTATTTTGTTAGATTTTTTTTTTAGTAGGATTTTAAAAATTTTAAAAACACGGTTTTTCTTAAATATATAATGATATTTTTTGATGGCTGGAACCTGTCTAATTGACTCTCATTATAAAATATGTTTGCCATTTGGGAATTTGCCCGTTGAGAGATTTTCTAAGAATGTAACTCTCCTTGAGCTGTAAGACTCTATTGTACTCTTCCTTATCCCATTCACTCCCTCGTTCTGTGTCCTTGTCTGTGTTACTCTTCCCTATCCCACTCACTGTCCTGCTTTGCTCTTCAGAGACAATGCAGACTCACCGGCGAAAGCCAAGACATCTGGCAAGAGGAAAGTCAAGAAGCGCACAATAGCAGAAACATCGAATGTCATCACAGAAACCCTGCCATCCATCCAAGAAACGGATACCGTAGAAATTGACCAGGAGAATGTTTTTGCTGCAGAGATCGTGGAGATCAACGCAGAAGAGATGGAAGAGGAGGCTAGGGCTACTGTGATGGAAGCAGTGGAGAACCTGCCAACAGCAGATGAGTCGGCACAGCCGTCTGGTGATGTGGCAGGCTCGGAACAACCGGCCGAATCAGCACTTGCTCTGCTCGCCGATATCACCAGCAAATACCAACAGGATGAGCTGGACAAGGAGCTGGAGAAGGAAGGGGAACGGGAGTCTGCCGGCCAGTCCCAAGAGGAGTCCGAAACATCCATTGTAACGGAGGATGGGATCCACATCGTGGAAGTGCTAGCACAGGGTGACAAACTGTTCTGTTGTGAGAAATGCAGCCGCTCCTTCAGACTCTTTTATCACTTCAAGGAGCACCTGAAGGTGCACTCGGGGGAGAACTACGTATGTCACCTTTGCAGCAAACAGTACACACGGGAGAGTGCCTGGAAGCAGCACCTCTCCTCTCACCGCGAAGAAGAAGGTGGGAACAAGAAGCCAAGGTGTGTTCGCAAAGTGCATGTGTGTCAGTACTGTGAGAAACAGTTTGACCACTTTGGACATTTTAAAGAACATCTTCGAAAGCACACGGGTAAGAAGTGTCATCAATACTGTGCCTTTGCCCTCCAAGATCTTACTTTTATCCTCAAATCATTGAATGATACAAGACAGAAGGTGGCCATTGGGCTCATTGTGTCGGTGCTGGCTCTTTGAAATATTTGTCCCGGTGCCCTCTCCTGAAAATTCTTCTAATTTGAGTATTTATCCATTTCTGTTTTGAAACTTATTATCAAGTCTGCTTCCACTGTATTTTCAGATCCTAACAATCAATAAAAATGATATCAAATGATATTAAATCTGTCCCCTCCTTGCTGATTCTGCTGCTGGTGGAAACAGTTTGTTTATTTGCTCGATCAGTTACTCCTCATCCCTGTCGTAAATGGGTAATCCTTTATTTTCTAACTGTGAACTCTATTCCTAAAATTTCTCAGAAGAAGAAACAACCTTTCCACATCCTGATTAGTAAGGGGATTGAAGGTTACTGGGAGAAGGCAGGAGAATGGGGCTGAGAAACATATTTGCCATGATCAAATGGTAGAGCAGACTAAATGGGCTGAATGACCAAATTCTGCTCCTGTATCTTATAGTCACATGCAACCTATCATTTATTATTTTACTTGGAGGATAGCAAAGTAACTGCCTGGTATCATTCTGGTTTCTGGATAGGAGAACATGGTATTTGGATTGTTTCATTTCACTGATGTGTCCAAAGTCTTGGAGCATTGAATGGTGAAATCTACTCTTTTACTTCCTCAGGTGAGAAGCCCTTCGAGTGTCCAAACTGTCATGAGCGATTTGCCAGGAACAGCACACTGAAATGTCACCTGGTGGCCTGCCGAACGGGTATGGGTGCAAAGAAAGGAAGGAAGAAGATGTACGAGTGTCAGGTACAGAGCACTGAGCAGTACAGAGTACTGAGCAACACAGGCCACCCATTTCCCAAAGGCCCGCAGAGACACAGCAGCTTGCATTCCTACAGCCCCTTGTGGGTAACAAAACATCTCGAAGTGCTTCTTGGGGATGTTACAAAACAAGATATACAGTATATGGTGAAATTAGGATAGAAGGCCAAAAGCTTGGCCACATTTTCCGGAGACTCTTATAGAAAGGTATGATAGGTGGAGAGGTTGAGGGCTTTGAATTCTGACCCTAGTGCTCAGTCAAATGTAGGCTTGGCTATCAATGCTGGAGGAGTTCAAATTAGATACAACAGAGATCAGAATGACCAGGAACCAGAACCAGAGAAACATTACGATCTGTTCGAGCGAGGGAAAGAGACAGCGTTGGAGGGGTGAGTCTATAGACAGAATTGGAAACAACGATGAAGCGTGTTAGGTGTTACTTCTAATTATATGCCATGATGGGTCATGAATTTTGGGAAATTATTGATTGCGCTTTTAAACATACTCTATAGCCAATGTCATGCGTTGCAAAATTAGACATTTTGTTATTGTATGACAGCTGCAGGTTCACAAAGCAGGGCAATATTCTACAGCAGATTAAACCATGATGTCCCAATGCATTTCTGAACCAGGTTTGCTTCTGTTTTTTATGTTTGGGCAGTGATGAGGCCACGTAGGCAAGAGTCGTTTCCAAGATAACGCTTAGGTATTCTGGTTTGGGGGGTGACACTGCTAACTCCACTTGTTATTTTCAATCCCAGGTTTGCTCCAGCGTCTTCCCCAGCTGGGACCAGTTTAAGAATCACCTGGCAGTGCACACAGGCGAGAAACCCAATCACTGCACCATTTGCGACATGTGGTTCATGCGGGCTAGCGAGCTGCGGCAACATGTCAAGGATGTCCATGGAGCTGCTGAGCAGGAAGTGGGTGAGGTGACGGAAATTGTGGTGCCCGTGGAGGTGATTGACACTGAGGCGATGGAGGGGGAGACTATCATTGAGCAGGTGACGGTGTAGGAGACGGCCATGAGAGTGGGGGAGGAAGGGTTTGACACCCAGATCGAATTCTTCCACGCCCAACCAACCAGGCTCAGTGTAAGCGAGTGTGAGGAGAAGTTACCAACCTGCAGTGGGTAGAAGTGGGGTTATCAGCGGGGCAGTTCAAAGCCGCTGACACCAGCTTTGATGACAACTAGCAGTACTCTTGCCAGCGCGGGGACTACTCAGTGGCTGCATTTCCACCGTTGTCGGAATACAAGTGGCAACCAAATTCTTTTTGCCACCTGACTGGAAAGAACTGCGGTGCAAGACTGTGTAAATGAAATCTTCTTGTCTGAGCTCGTTTGGACTTCCACAGCTGTTGAGGTGTTTGGGTTACCATCGTTCGGTCCAGGGATGTGAAGTATCTGGGTTAACAGGAACCAATAGCGATGGGAATGCTCTTGCTACCACTGGCTGAAAATCCCAGCTGACCACTTTCTGACTCGTGGCAAAGCAATATGGACACACCGCAGATTGTACACGAGGCACTCCTGCTGGAAGCACCCTATTGTGCAGTCACAGTCACATATATACTGGGAATCTTTGTTAATATTAACTTCAATCACCTGTGCTTTGTACATAGCTGGGGGTGCAGCCTGTCTGGTCTACCAGGAAGTGCTGGACCTTTTGGAATGGATTGTTGATGCAAAGCGGAGAAGACCCACTCATGCTGGGGTCATTCCAGTCACCCAGCTCACTTCTGTAAACATTCACAATGAATGCACAGCAATTAAATCCATTTACAGGCCTGTCAATAAAAAACAGTGGCTGGTTCAGTAGACAGCAGGTCTATTGTCTTTCATTCACATAATTTCACGTTGATTCCTGTTCCCTCCTCCTCTCACCTGATGGCTTAGCTGATTACTAGCTGTCCAGGAAAGTCTGTTGCTTTCAATCACAACTGGTGTAAGGAGTGTGGCTATTGCATTCTGCTTTCTCTGCATCAATAGTTTGCACTTACAAAATGCCTTTAGGAGGGAACATAACATGACATGGAATCACAAGAAGATCTTGGAGTTTATGGCTAAAAGTTTAGTCAAAGTGGTAGGTTTTGAACAAAACTATTTAAAGGAGAGAAAATTCGAGTGTCTTAAGAGGAGAAATGCAGAGCTTGGGACTAAGACAGCTGAAGGCATTCACCCGTACGCACTATAAATTAGCAAGTGTAAGGTGCCAGATGAGCAAGTCTTGGGGTGAGTTAGGTAGCAGAGTTTTAAATTTAGAATTAAAATAAGAATCAGCTTTATTGTCACATGTACTGGAATGAGTGCAGCGAAAAGTTTGTGATATCATCATTTACGGCGCCATGTTGGGTACAAGATACTTAGGTACAGATATTTAAGTATTTGGTACAAAATTGAAAGAATAATAGAACTCCAGCATAAGAATAAAATAAAAGAAATGTACTCTAATTACAGTCCTTTTCATCCAAACCTGTGCCCAGCCCCACACCCCCACCTATGTATTTCTGGGCTCCCCTCCCTCTCCCTAGTCCTGACAAAGGGTTTCGGCCCAAAAGGTTGACTTTCCTGCACCTCCGATGCTGCCTGACCTGCTGTGCTTTTCCAGCCTCAGACCTACAGACTCTAGCTTCCAGCATCTGCAGTCCTTATTGTCTCCCAGTATTCCATCACACTCCTGACTTGTGCCTTGTAGATGGCGGACAGGCTTTGGGGAGTCAGGAGTTGTGTTACTTGTAGTGGCATTCCTGGCCTCTGACCTGCTATTGTAGCCACAATATTTATATGAATGCTCCAGTTCAGTTTCTGGTCAATGGTAACTCAGGATTTTGATAATGTTGGATTCAATGATGGTAATACCATTGAATGTTAAAGGATGATGGTTAGATCCTCTCTTGTTGGATATGAATATTGCCTGGCAATTGTATGACTCAAATGTTACTTGCTAGTTATTAGCTCAAATTGGATACAGCCCCAGTCTTGCCACTTTTGGATACGAATATTGCCTGGTAATTGTGTGACTCAAATGTTACTTGCTACTTATCAGCTCAAACTGGATACAGTCCCAGTCTTGCCACTTTCGGAAATGGACTTTTTCAACATGTGATCAGCCACGAATGGTGCTGAACATAATGCAGTCATCAATGAGCATCTCCAGTTCTGACCTTTGGATAGAGGGTATGTCATCGATGAAACATGTGAAGGTGGTTGGGCTGGGGGCTCTTCCTTGAGGAACTCTTGCAGAGTTGTGCTGGACCTGAGCTGACTGATGTCCACCCAGAATTATCATCTTCCTTTGTGCAGGGTAAGACTTCAACTAATGGACGGTTTTCTCCCCGATTCACATTGACTCCAGTTTTGTCAGGCTCCATGGTATCACACCTGGACAGCTGTAGTCGTGCTGTCAAGGGCAGTCACTCTCACCTCACCTCTGGAGTTCAGCTCTTTTGTCAGTGTTTGAAATAAAGCTGTAATGAGATCAGGAGCTGAGAGGCCCAAGTGGAACTCAAATGGAGCATGATAAGGAGGCTATTGCTATACAAGTACTGCTTAATATTACTGTTGATGACCACTTTACTGATGATCGAGAATAGACTGATGGGGTGGCCCAAAGGGTCAGCAATATAAATCCCTCCCTGCTATACCATCTCTCCCTAATCCACTCTATTCTCCTTTTCCTGATCTTGCTAGGATGTGGCACTGGGAGTAATCTTGAAATTATTACCTTTAAGGTCACTCTTTTTAATTATTTCCTAGCTTCCTGTATTGTCTTGCAGGATCTCACCCCTTTCTTTCCCTATGTCATTAGTTCTGACATGGATCCCAACCTCTGGCTGTTCGCTCTCGCCTTTCAGAAGGTCCTGTGGGAACTCTGTGATATCCTTTACCTTGGCATTGAGGAGGCAGCAAATAATACTTGTGATATATCTGCACCTGCAGAAACATCCAAACGTTCTTCCTATGATAGAATCCTCTGTCAGTACTCTCCCACTCTTGTTTTTTAATCCTCCATCTCCCAGTGAGTTGTGTGCTGCAGAGTTGGCGCTCGCTGCGTTTCACTGAGAAGCCATCTTCTCCAGTCATAACCAACATGGAAAATCTATTACAGAGGGAGATGAATCCAGGGCCTCCTGCACCACCTGCCCTAGTGCTTTTACTTTGTCATTCATTTCCATTTCTGCCTTTGCACTCTTTACCTGCAGAGTGGCCATCTCACTGTGTGATAATCTCAACAGTGCAAATGCGACACAGTGATTCCAGCTGATGTTCCAGATCGAAATGAAGATTTCTCGTAATTATAACTGAAGACACTTTCTGCACGCCTAGTCACCCTGGACATTGGAAGTATCCCTGATTTACCACACTGCACAGGAGACGTGGCTAAGCTGCCCTGCCATAGCCTACCCTTAAATTAGTCACTATACATTTATTTACTTAAAAGAATATTAAATGTGTACAGGTGTGCATTGATCCCCACTCTCCATACAGTTGGGGTATTGATCCCCGGTCTTTATACAAGTCTGAATGCAAGGCATGTTGACCAGGGAGCGCATCTCAGTATTGGCAACCTGATCTTGCCATCCAATCTAGAGCTGAGTGTACAAGCAAGACATGTGAAAGTGGTGTAGCTTCTCTGCATAAACTATCTGTTTCACAAGCACAAGACTGAGAACAACTGGTCTGTAAAACCTCAATTTTATTGGGAGACCAGAACTTCTTCACTCTCAGACCATTTTTTTTGTAACTTTCCAAAGCCAACACTTGCCTTAGTTAAAATCAAATGAAGAACTGTGGATGCTGGAAATCTGAAATAAAAACAGAAATTGATGGAAACGCTCCAGGTCTGGCAGCATCTGTGGAGAGAGAGCAGAGTTAATGTAAGTGACTCTTCTTCAGAACTGATGGTAGCAAGAAAGAGGGGGTATATATGCTGAAGACTTGAGGTAGAGGGAGGGGTGGGGTAAAGGGCAAGAGATGGAAATAATCTTAGCTATGTTGGCATTGACTTAATCGTCAATATGATCTAATGTGGAGAGAGTGCTGCTAAATTTAGTATAGCTGCTGATCACTTCCTGTACTATTTTGCTTCACTTTTTTTTGTAGGGCTGTGGTTTGAGTTCATTCACTTTGATGTTGGTGGTGGCACTGACTTTTATCACAGGCCAAGGAAACGGTCCAAACAGGCACTTCTGGCACTGTTGTCATGAATAGGAAGCCACAAATCACACATTTGCACACTTTGATTTTAGTTTGTAGTCTTATCAACTTGAAGACTTTGTACGATAAGTAATTTTTTATTCATTCAGGGAATATTGTTAACGTTGGCTGGGCTAGCTTTTATAGTTGGCCTACAGAACCTGCCTTCTTGAACTGCCTCAGTCCGTGTGCTGGAGGCAGACCCGCAAGGTCGCTAGGGAAGGAATTCTAACACTGAATGCTCTAGAAGACATATGTTATGACATAACTAGGAAGAATATGCTAATAATGGAAACTCTGTATTCTTCAAGTTGAGAATTACTTCATTTAAACCTCCAAAGTTGCTTGACTGACTGCTTTTTGGGACGAGAGCAAATCACGCCGGAAGCTAAATTTTAGCAGAAATTGGCTGTGTCATTTTAATGAGCGTCATGGTGGGGGCCCTCTCTCCATTACAACCTAGCGTGTTTTCTCATGCTATTTCCCAGACTTGCTTGATTACCTATGCACCATGTCCCTGTGCTCTTCTTGTATTCTCCCATTTGCTGCAGGTGGAAGTACTCAGCACTGGTGCAACATCCTGATATTCCTACCAGCAATACCATATTTAAAAGGCTGTTTTGTACTAGATTAAATTCTTCAGTTCAGAGCTGCCCTGCATGGTTCCTGTCATTGGCCTAGACATGGCAAGCAAAGGAAAATCGGCATCCCGCTTTGGGGACAGGTACCTGAAGGTCCTGGTGAACGGATTCTGTCTCTCTCTCTCTCCGTCCCACCTGCCTCTGTTAATATATCTTATTTCAGGGACTGGACATCAATACTGTGTCAGTCACCTGTCTAAATCCTCTTGGCCAATGTCCATGGGCTGCTATTCATGATGCCAGAATGACTACTGTCCCCTTACACACCTCACCTCTATTTAGGTTAGTTTTCATTCCCAGGATAAATCAAACTGAGGCAGATTGGTGAGGATGAGGTTAAGTTTTTTTTTCCACTTGTTGGTTCCCTCACCACCTGCTACATACCCAGTCTGGCAGCTATGTCCTTTATGATTTGACCAGTTTGCTCACTAGCGACGCTGCCGAGCCACACTTGGTGCTGAACATTTATTAGGGAGGTGCCTTCGGTACATGCTAAAGTATGTGGTATCCCTGTTGTACTCACATTTTCTGTGGTGGGTTTAGTTTGTATTTGCCTCATAGAAACAACAATTACACATCATTCAATAAATCTGAGACAACAAGGTGCAGGGCTGGATGAACACAGCAGGCCAAGCAGCATCATAGGAGCAGAGAGGCTGACGTTTTGCAGGAACAGCAACTCATATTCCGCTTGGGAACCCTGCAGCCCAATGGTATCAATGTGGATTTCACAAGTTTCAAAATCTCCCCTCCCCCCACCGCATCCCAAAACCAGTCCAGCTCGTCCCTGCCTCCCTAACCTGTTCTTCCTCCCCCCTATCCCCTCCTCCCACCTCAAGCCGCACCTCCATCTCCTACCGACCAACCTCATCCCGCCCCCTTGACCTGTCCGTCCTCCCTGGACTGACCTATCCCCTTCCTAACTCCCTACCTACACTCACCTTTCCTGGCCCCATCCCCGCCTCTTCGACCTGTTTGTTTCCGC